TGATTCTCAGTTTAAAAGAAATTTGAGAACAGTACATAGACTCAATGAGGCATCCGATACGCGCGCGAATCACGAGTGCCCTATGACGAACGCGCAGCGTTCAAATATATAAAAAACTGTGGGGAGGTCTGTAAAGAAAAAAAGTACTGGTGGGACTGGTCGAAGCGAAGCAACTCTGACATAAAATCCATGTTGTTATCAGATCAAAAAAAATAGAGCAGGTCCCTGAACAGGCGTAAGAGTTGGGATAAGATGGAAGGTGACACGGCAGACCGTTAAAAGAAGACTGTGCGAAACAGTGGTACGATGCAATGACTAGGCAATCAATTGTAAAGTCAATGCATTGAAAGGTACCGAGGTCCTGCAGTGCAGGTCCCCCTGTCAGACGTCGAGCGATTCCGAATGAACGATGCAGTTCAGCACCTCCAACGGTATCTTAAAGGTCGCATCGTCTATCAGGACAATATCGTAAATATCCATGTAGGTGTCTAGCAGGGTTTCGACCTGCGGTAAGAAAACAAGAAAAAAAAATAAGTAAGCCAATTATAGCAAGAAACCAATTGCAAACCGAGGACTATACTCTCCGACGGACTTGGGTACGAAAGGAATAAATAAACATTGATCACACCCTACCCCTCCCTGTTTCTTAATGACCCCAACACGCCGACTTCGCCACTCGGGCACCGTGCGTGATAACCATAAAATCCTTTTGCACACTGTCAACCATTAATCTCTTCATTATCGATGCAACTGTATAGGCCTGATGATGAATTCACGAAAACGTAGGTTGCCGAATTGCCTTTTCTAATAAACGATTATTACACAACAAAGGCGAGGACTGGATCTCCACAACGACCCTCCATCTCTCGGCACAACCTAGGATCGCTCGGTTGTCAAACTCAGAGAACTACCGCTCATTGAGACGTCAAACTACGCGATCGGCAAGATGCAATCGTCAGAACCATTGGACCGCGTTAGCTAGCTCCATAGAATCAACTTCAAACTCTGGCAACTTCCACTAGCTCTATTACCTTTTACGTAGAGCAGCTGGCAAATATAAACCGCTTTGCACTGCCGTTCGGGATAATTTGGGCAAATGACACCTGATATGGCTGGCAAAATTGATCGATGGCGAGAGCACTTCAGTGAGCTACTGGATCCGATTATACGTTCACCTGCGAACCTACAGCTATCAATTGGAATTCCATACGATATCGACTGCGAGCTACCTACGAGAGCTGAACTGAAATCGGTATTGTAACGACTGAAAGGTCGTAAGGCAGCGGGTGAAGATGGTATCCCAGAAGAAGCTTACAAAACTGGTTGTTCTGCCTTGGCGGAATCACTTCACCGACTATACTTGACTATATGAACTACCGAAGTAATCCCCGCTGACTGGTCACTGTCCATTATCTCACCGATATCGAAGCGCGGTGACATGAAAATATGCTCAAATTACCGCGGCTTCAGCCTCATAGATATAGCCGCCAAAGTGTTTGCGGCGATCCTTCTCCGTAGATTTTCGACCGAGTGCAATCTTTGCACTCATCCTAACCCAAGAGGATTTCGTCCAGGTAGAGGATG